GTTGTGGTGTTCCATCACTGTGTTGTGGTGTTCCATCACTGTGTTGTGGTGTTCCATCACTGTGTTGTGGTGTTCCATCACTGTGTTGTGGTGTTCCATCACTGTGTTGTGGTGTTCCATCACTGTGTTGTGGTGTTCCATCACTGTGTTGTGGTGTTCCATCACTGTGTTGTGGTGTTCCATCACTGTGTTGTGGTGTTCCATCACTGTGTTGTGGTGTTCCATCACTGTGTTGTGGTGTTCCATCACTGTGTTGTGGTGTTCCATCACTGTGTTGTGGTGTTCCATCACTGTGTTGTGGTGTTCCATCACTGTGTTGTGGTGTTCCATCACTGTGTTGTGGTGTTCCATCACTGTGTTGTGGTGTTCCATCACTGTGTTGTGGTGTTCCATCACTGTGTTGTGGTGTTCCATCACTGTGTTGTGGTGTGGTGTTCCATCACTGTGTTGTGGTGTTCCATCACTGTGTTGTGGTGTTCCATCACTGTGTTGTGGTGTTCCATCACTGTGTTGTGGTGTTCCATCACTGTGTTGTGGTGTTCCATCACTGTGTTGTGGTGTTCCATCACTGTGTTGTGGTGTTCCATGTTGTGGTGTTGTGTTGTGGTGTTCCATCACTGTGTTGTGGTGTTCCATCACTGTGTTGTGGTGTTCCATCACTGTGTTGTGGTGTTCCATCACTGTGTTGTGGTGTTCCATCACTGTGTTGTGGTGTTCCATCACTGTGTTGTGGTGTTCCATCACTGTGTTGTGGTGTTCCATCACTGTGTTGTGGTGTTCCATCACTGTGTTGTGGTGTTCCATCACTGTGTTGTGGTGTTCCATCACTGTGTTGTGGTGTTCCATCACTGTGTTGTGGTGTTCCATCACTGTGTTGTGGTGTTCCATCACTGTGTTGTGGTGTTCCATCACTGTGTTGTGGTGTTCCATCACTGTGTTGTGGTGTTCCATCACTGTGTTGTGGTGTTCCATCACTGTGTTGTGGTGTTCCATCACTGTGTTGTGGTGTTCCATCACTGTGTTGTGGTGTTCACTGTGTTGTGGTGTTCCATCACTGTGTTGTGGTGTTCCATCACTGTGTTGTGGTGTTCCATCACTGTGTTGTGGTGTTCCATCACTGTGTTGTGGTGTTCCATCACTGTGTTGTGGTGTTCCATCACTGTGTTGTGGTGTTCCATCACTGTGTTGTGGTGTTCCATCACTGTGTTGTGGTGTTCCATCACTGTGTTGTGGTGTTCCATCACTGTGTTGTGGTGTTCCATCACTGTGTTGTGGTGTTCCATCACTGTGTTGTGGTGTTCCATCACTGTGTTGTGGTGTTCCATCACTGTGTTGTGGTGTTCCATCACTGTGTTGTGGTGTTCCATCTGTGTTGTGGTGTTCCATCACTGTGTTGTGGTGTTCCATCACTGTGTTGTGGTGTTCCATCACTGTGTTGTGGTGTTCCATCACTGTGTTGTGGTGTTCCATCACTGTGTTGTGGTGTTCCATCACTGTGTTGTGGTGTTCCATCACTGTGTTGTGGTGTTCCATCACTGTGTTGTGGTGTTCCATCACTGTGTTGTGGTGTTCCATCACTGTGTTGTGGTGTTCCATCACTGTGTTGTGGTGTTCCATCACTGTGTTGTGGTGTTCCATCACTGTGTTGTGGTGTTCCATCACTGTGTTGTGGTGTTCCATCACTGTGTTGTGGTGTTCCATCACTGTGTTGTGGTGTTCCATCACTGTGTTGTGGTGTTCCATCACTGTGTTGTGGTGTTCCATCACTGTGTTGTGGTGTTCCATCACTGTGTTGTGGTGTTCCATCACTGTGTTGTGGTGTTCCATCACTGTGTTGTGGTGTTCCATCACTGTTTTGGTGTTCCATCACTGTGTTGTGGTGTTCCATCACTGTGTTGTGGTGTTCCATCACTGTGTTGTGGTGTTCCATCACTGTGTTGTGGTGTTCCATCACTGTGTTGTGGTGTTCCCACTGTGTTGTGGTGTTCCATCACTGTGTTGTGGTGTTCCATCACTGTGTTGGTGTTCCATCACTGTGTTGTGGTGTTCACTGTGTTGTGGTGTTCCATCACTGTGTTGTGGTGTTCTGTTGCTGTGTTGTGGTGTTCCATCACTGTGTTGTGGTGTTCCATCACTGTGTTGTGGTGTTCCATCACTGTGTTGTGGTGTTCCATCACTGTTTGTGGTGTTCCATCACTGTGTTGTGGTGTTCCATCACTGTGTTGTGGTGTTCCATCACTGTGTTGTGGTGTTCCATCACTGTGTTGTGGTGTTCCATCACTGTGTTGTGGTGTTCCATCACTGTGTTGTGGTGTTCCACACTGTGTTGTGGTGTTCACACTGTTTGTGGTGTTCCATCACTGTGTTGTGGTGTTCCATCACTGTGTTGTGGTGTTCCACTGTGTTGTGGTGTTCCATCACTGTGTTGTGGTGTTCCACACTGTGTTGTGGTGTTCCATCACTGTGTTGTGGTGTTCCATCACTGTGTTGTGGTGTTCCATCACTGTGTTGTGGTGTTCCATCACTGTGTTGTGGTGTTCCATCACTGTGTTGTGGTGTTCCATCACTGTGTTGGTGGTGTCCATCACTGTGTTGTGGTGTTCCATCACTGTGTTGTGGTGTTCCATCACTGTGTTGTGGTGTTCCACACTGTGTTGTGGTGTTCCATCACTGTGTTGTGTTCCATCACTGTGTTCCATCACTGTGTTGTGGTGTTCCATCACTGTGTTGTGGTGTTCCATCACTGTGTTGTGGTGTTCCATCACTGTGTTGTGGTGTTCCATCACTGTGTTGTGGTGTTCCATCACTGTGTTGTGGTGTTCCATCACTGTGTTGTGGTGTTCCATCACTGTGTTGTGGTGTTCCATCACTGTGTTGTGGTGTTCCATCACTGAGTTGTGGTGTTCCATCACTGTGTTGTGGTGTTCCATCACTGTGTTGTGGTGTTCCACACTGTGTTGTGGTGTTCCATCACTGTGTTGTGGTGTTCCACACTGTGTTGTGGTGTTCCATCACTGTGTTGTGGTGTTCCACACTGTGTTGTGGTGTTTCATCACTGTGTTGTGGTGTTCCATCACTGTGTTGTGGTGTTCCATCACTGTGTTGTGGTGTTCCATCACTGTGTTGTGGTGTTCCATCACTGTGTTGTGGTGTTCCATCACTGTGTTGTGGTGGTCCATCACTGTGTTGTGGTGTTCCATCACTGTGTTGTGGTGTTCTGTTGCTGTGTTGTGGTGTTCCACACTGTGTTGTGGTGTTCCATCACTGTGTTGTGGTGTTCCATCACTGTGTTGTGGTGTTCCATCACTGTGTTGTGGTGTTCTGTTGCTGTGTTGTGGTGTTCTGTTGTTGTGGTGTTCCATGTGTTGTGGTGTTCCATCACTGTGTTGTGGTGTTCCATCACTGTGTTGTGGTGTTCCATGTTGCTGTGTTGTGGTGTTCCATCACTGTGTTGTGGTGTTCCATCACTGTGTTGTGGTGTTCCATCACTGTGTTGTGGTGTTCCATGTGTTGTGGTGTTCTGTTGCTGTGTTGTGGTGTTCCATCACTGTGTTGTGGTGTTCCACTGTGTTGTGGTGTTCCATCACTGTGTTGTGGTGTTCCATCACTGTGTTGTGGAGTTCTGTTGCTGTGTTGTGGTGTTCCACACTGTGTTGTGGTGTTCCATCACTGTGTTGTGGTGTTCCATCACTGTGTTGTGGTGTTCTGTCGCTGTGTTGTGGTGTTCCATGTGTTGTGGTGTTCCATCACTGTGTTGTGGTGTTCCATCACTGTGTTGTGGTGTTCCATCACTGTGTTGTGGTGTTCCATGTTGTGGTGTTCCATCACTGTGTTGTGGTGTTCCATCTGTGTTGTGGTGTTCCACACTGTGTTGTGGTGTTCCATCACTGTGTTGTGGTGTTCCACCACTGTGTTGTGGTGTTCCATCACTGTGTTGTGGTGTTCCATCACTGTGTTGTGGTGTTCCATCACTGTGTTGTGGTGTTCCATCACTGTGTTGTGGTGTTCCATCACTGTGTTGTGGTGTTCCATCACTGTGTTGTGGTGTTCCATCACTGTGTTGTGGTGTTCCATCACTGTGTTGTGGTGTTGTGGTGTTCCATCACTCCATCACTGTGTTGTGGTGTTCCATCACTGTGTTGTGGTGTTCCATCACTGTGTTGTGGTGTTCCATCACTGTGTTGTGGTGTTCCATCACTGTGTTGTGGTGTTCCATCACTGTGTTGTGGTGTTCCATCACTGTGTTGTGGTGTTCCATCACTGTGTTGTGGTGTTCCATCACTGTGTTGTGGTGTTCCATCACTGTGTTGTGGTGTTCTGTTGCTGTGTTGTGGTGTTCCATCACTGTGTTGTGGTGGTCCATCACTGTGTTGTGGTGTTCCATCATTGTGTTATGGTGTCCCATCACTGTGTTATGGTGTCCTATCACTGTATTGTGGTGTTTCATCACCACCACCACCACAACTACCACCACCACCAGTACTCTGGCTGTGGGTGCTGTAGAAGGGCAGATCTTCGTACATTACCACTAGTAATGTTGTGCTAGTTATCGGATTTACATTTAAAGTTGGTGGAGGTGGTGAGGTCTCTTACGACGTCTCGTCTCCCTATACAGGGATGTCTCCCTGTATCAAATATACCTTGACGTCAAAGTACAGACAGACGAGGACAAGAACGACGCCCAGTACTCAGAAGAGATGCTGACACTGAAATTAGAAGCTTACATTATTAAGACTAAACTTCTGAGCCTTGAAGCATCCAGAACTTCAACAGTCCTTCAAGAAGACATTCACAGGAAACATGGAACTTTTAGCAAAATGAATACAAAGATCTCTACCGCTGTGACGACCTGAATCTCACAGGTAAGGCAGACTCCTCAGAGTGGCATCACTCCTGTGTTCTGGACCCGCAGCCAAGGGTTGTGGCGGACACACAGGCTCCAAAATAGCTTCCAGGGGCCTGGAAATAGACGAGGAACACTGAGGCGAGACACACATTACCCGCCGGGGTCTGCTGGAGTCCGCCAGGAGGAACTCCACACCTTGAGCAATGTTACTGGGGGGCATCACCAGCGCCTCCAGGAGCACGGCGCCTCCAGGAGCATAGCGCCTCCAGGAGCACAGCGCCTCCAGGAGCACAGCGCCTCCAGGAGCATAGCGCCTCCAGGAGCATAGCGCCACCAGGAGCACAGCGGCTCCAGGAGCATGGCGCCTCCAGGAGCATAGCGCCTCCAGGAGCATAGCGCCTCCAGGAGCATAGCGCCTCCAGGAGCATAGCGCCACCAGGAGCACAGCGGGTCCAGGAGCATGACGCCTCCAGGAGCACAGCGCCTCCAGGATAGCGCCTTCAGCACAGCGCCTCCAGGAGCACAGCGCCTCCAGGAGCATAGCGCCTCCAGGAGCATAGCGCCACCAGGAGCACAGCGGGTCCAGGAGCATGACGCCTCCAGGAGCACAGCGCCTCCAGGAGCACAGCGCCTCCAGGAGCATGGTGCCTCCAGGAGAACAGCGCCTGCAGGAGCACGGCGCCTCCAGGAGCACGGCGCCTCCAGGAGCATAGTGCCTCCAGGAGCACAGCGCCTCCAGGAGCACAGCGCCTCCAGGAGCACAGCGCCTCCAGGAGCACAGCGCCTCCAGGAGCACAGCTCCTCCAGAAGCACAGCGCCTCCAGGAGCACAGCGCCTTCAGGAGCACAGCGCCTCCAGCAGCACGGCGCCTCCAGGAGCATATCGCCTCCAGGAGCACAGCGCCTTCAGGAGCACAGCGCCTCCAGGAGCACAGCGCCTCCAGGAGCACGGCGCCTCCAGAAGCACAGCGCCTCCAGGAGCACGGCGCCTCCAGGAGCATGACGCCTCCAGGAGCACAGCGCCTCCAGGAGCATGACGCCTCCAGGAGCACAGCGCCTCCAGGAGCATGACGCCTCCAGGAGCACAGCGCCTCCAGGAGCACAGCCCCTCCAGGAGCATAGCGCCTCCAGGAGCACAGGGCCTCCAGAAGCACAGCGCCTCCAGGAGCACAGCGTCCCCAGGAGCACAGCGCCTCCAGGAGCATTGCTCCTCCAGGAGCACAGCGCCTCCAGGAGCACGGCGCCTCCAGGAGCACAGCGCCTCCAGGAGCACAGCTCCTCCAGAAGCACAGCGCCTCCAGGAGCACAGCGCCTCCAGGAGCACAGCGCCTCCAGAAGCACGGCGCCTCCAGGAGCATATTGCCTCCAGGAGCACAGCGCCTTCAGGAGCACAGCGCCTCCAGGAGCACAGCGCCTCCAGGAGCACGGCGCCTCCAGAAGCACAGCGCCTCCAGGAGCACGGCGCCTCCAGGAGCATGACGCCTCCAGGAGCACAGCGCCTCCAGGAGCATGACGCCTCCAGGAGCACAGCGCCTCCAGGAGCATGACGCCTCCAGGAGCACAGCGCCTCCAGGAGCACAGCCCCTCCAGGAGCATAGCGCCTCCAGGAGCACAGGGCCTCCAGAAGCACAGCGCCTCCAGGAGCACAGCGTCCCCAGGAGCACAGCGCCTCCAGGAGCATAGCGCCTCCAGGAGCACAGCGCCTCCAGGAGCACGGGGCCTCCAGGAGCACGGCGCCTCCAGGAGCACGGCGCCTCCAGGAGCATACCGCCTCGAGGAGCATAGCGCTCCTGGAGGCTGCTCATAGAAAGGGTAGAGTGACGAAACATAAATGGATGAACTATGTGTTCATTCATTATATTATGGAAATGCTCGTAGTTAAAATTTACATTAATGTGATTATAGAAACAAAGTGTTAGCATGATTGTAATCATATGAGAAATATCTTAATATACCCGCATCATGGGTCAAAAAGGTCAAATGAGGATTGACTTAGCAACAACCTACAAGGGGAAAAATCTTACAATCTTGTATTGAAATGAACCCTTAGGTGACATAGCTCGTTAATGGAAATAACATCCCCTTCTGGGTGAGAATAAAGGTGGCACTGAGAACAGGTGGTAAAGTTAACAGCTGGCGGAGATCATATGTTTCTAAAATGAATATGTTAACTAAACTAAGCTTGACCAGGGCGTTGAAGATGAGCTCGTGAGAGACATGTTGCCATATGTAGTTACAACAAAGATTTCTGTCACATGGCACAGAAAGATTGTTGCAGAAGAGTATGAATGTGTCTTAGACTAAGTACCTTGTGACTACGAGTCTTTTGTGCCAGTTGCTCAAAAGACGTAATTTTTTTCTGACATGTGATTTCCGTGAGAGTAATAGTCATTTAAGTGATCATATTTTGATAGCGGATAGGTAATGTCAGGTGCAGCAGGAAAACATTAAGTAAACTCAATTTCAAAAAAAAGAAAGTAATTGAGAACTCTGAAAAGTAAGTCACTGTGAAGTCACTTTGAAAGTGAAGTGAAGTGGAAGTGTAGTGAACTCCGTGAAACACCGTGACTCAGTAAACACTGTGAACTCACTCATAAAATGCTAGGTCAGGCATGAGAGGATGGGTCGCAGGATGGGTCGCAGGATGGGTCGCAGGATGGGTCGCAGGATGGGTTGCAAGATGGGTTGCAGGATGGGTCGCAGGATGGGTTGCAGGATGGGTTGCTGGATAGGTCGCAGGATGGGTCGCAGGATGAGTCGCAAGATGGGTCGCAAAATGGGTCGCAGGATGGTTAGCAGGAAGTATAGCAGGATGGGATGCAGGGACACAGCTTCAGTCCTCCACAAAGTGACTACCTCCCCCCTGCTATTCAAGAAAGGTTAGCGTACCACACAAACTATGATTTAAACTGAGTGTTGGAACATCAGTATGGAGTTGCGAGGGAGAGATAGAAAAGCAACCAGTTGACTAATTATTGAACGATATTTCATATATGTACAGGCTATATATCAAAATGACAGGATAGGTAATGGGGTTATGGATAGATGTATCGTCACCGGTCATTGCTGCTCATCAAGAATACTTCATCACCTTTTGACGAATAAATTTCCTTAAAGCAGACAATTGATGTTGTAGGGAATTAGAATTGTTAAAAATCACAGCGGCCCGCCAAGTTGACATCATGTCCCGTTTTCTATAGATGGGTTCTAGGATAGGTTAGGTCCCAGCAAGTTACCAGTTTAGTGCCGTTGTGAACGTTGGAGCGAACGGGCCTCACACAGGTCCTTGCTTCACTCTCAAATATAACTTTAGAGAGAACTAATATTAAATCTGAGAGTAAACGTGATAATATATCATCTCTTGTTAAAACACCCGAGAAATATGTATTTAATGCCATTAAGAGGATGGAATGTGAACATCAGGTCGTTAAAACTGTTCATCACAACACTGTGTTTCACACCGGGCGGCTGGAGCCCGTTGTTCATGGTGCTGTAGAGGCTATGTTGTTCATGTCTTTATTACCCACACACACAAGGTGTCTTCTGGGGGGGACATAACAACTCTTGTCGTAACCAATAATAACAATTAGGAATCATTGTCCAATACAACAAAAGTAGAAGTTTAAGTGATAATTAATAATATCTAAATTTTGTTTCATAGAATTGAAGTTAATTAAGTTTGTAACGCATAAATAAAAGAATAAATTGTTATTAAGCCCCGCTAATGTTTCTAATCGTCTTTTATATAGCCCTGGCCCTGAGTGTCACCCCCTGGCCCTGAGTGTCACCCCCTGGCCCTGAGTGTCACCCCCTGGCCCTGAGTGTCACCCCCTGGCCCTGAGTGTCACCCCCTGGCCCTGAGTGTCACCCCCTGGCCCTGAGTGTCACCCCCTGGCCCTGAGTGTCACCCCCTGGCCCTGAGTGTCACCCCCTGGGTCTGAACGTTACCCCCTGGCCCTGAGTGTCACCCCCTGGCCCTGAGTGTCACCCCCTGGCCCTGAGTGTCACCCCCTGGCCCTGAGTGTCACCCCCTGGCCCTGAGTGTCACCCCCTGGCCCTGAGTGTCACCCCCTGGCCCTGAGTGTCACCCCCTGGCCTTGAGTGTCACCCCCTGGCCCTGAGTGTCACCCCCTGGCCTTGAGTGTCACCCCCTGGCCTTGAGTGTCACCCCCTGGCCCTGAGTGTCACCCCCTGGCCTTGAGTGTCACCCCCTGGCCCTGAGTGTCACCCCGTGGCCCTGCGTGTCACCCCCTGGCCCTGAGTGTCACCCCCTGGCCCTGAGTGTCACCCCCTGGCCTTGAGTGTCACCCCCTGGCCTTGAGTGTCACCCCCTGGCCCTGAGTGTCACCCCCTGGCCCTGAGTGTCACCCCCTGGCCCTGAGTGTCACCCCCTGGCCCTGCGTGTCACCCCCTGGCCCTGAGTGTCACCCCCTGGCCCTGAGTGTCACCCCCTGGCCTTGAGTGTCACCCCCTGGCCCTGAGTGTCACCCCGTGGCCCTGAGTGTCACCCCCTGGCCCTGAGTGTCACCCCCTGGGTCTGAACGTTACCCCCTGGCCCTGAGTGTCACCCCCTGGCCCTGAGTGTCACCCCCTGGCCCTGAGTGTCACCCCCTGGCCCTGAACGTTACCCCCTGGCCCTGAGTGTCACCCCCTGGCCCTGAGTGTCACCCCCTGGCCTTGAGTGTCACCCCCTGGCCCTGAGTGTCACCTCCTGGCCCTGAGTGTCACCCCCTGTCCCTGAGTGTCACTCCCTGGCCCTGAACGTTACCCCTGGCCCTGAGTGTCACCCCCTGGCCTTGAGTGTCACCCCCTGGCCCTGAGTGTCACCTCCTGGCCCTGAGTGTCACCCCCTGGCCCTGAGTGTCACCCTCTGGCCCTGAGTGTCACCCCCTGGCCCTGAGTGTCACCCCCTGGCCCTGAACGTTACCCCCTGGCCCTGAGTGTCACCCCCTGGCCATGAGTGTCACCCCCTGGCTCTGAGTGTCACCCCCTGGCCCTGAGTGTCACCTCCTGGCGCTGCGTGTCACCTCCTGGCCCTGAGTGTCATCCCCTTGGCCCTAAATGTCATCCCCCTGGCTTTGAGTGTCGCCCCCCTAGACCTGTGTGTCACCCCCTGGCCCTGAGTGTCACCCCTGGCCTTGTGTGTCACCCCCTGGCCCTGAGTGTCACCCCTGGCCCTGTGTGTCACCTCTCTGGCCCTGAGTGTCATCCCCTGGCACTGTCACCCCCTGGCCCTGAGTGTCACCCCCTGGCCCTGAGTGTCACCCCCTCGCCCTGAGTGTCACCCCCTGGCCCTGAGTGTCACCCTCTGGCCCTGAATGTCACCCCAGGCCCTGAGTGTCACCCCCTGGCCCTGAGTGTCACCCCCTGGCCCTGAGTGTCACCCTCTGGCCCT